AAAAAAAAAAAAAAAAAAAAAAAAAAAAAAAAAAATCACATGATAAAAAGAACCAAGTGAGCCATTTTTTTTGAAATGATATGTATTATTAGCAATTGTACTCAATTTACTTACCAAATTTCTTGCTTTGTTTAGACTGTGAGGACAGTCCGTATTCCTCTCTTCTATTTGAAGAAACAGTAGCTTCATTTCCATACTGTTTCATTTCATTCTTATGGTCCACAGTGTCAGAACCATCAATTTTTAGAATTTCTTTAAGCATCCGTGTTCCCTTCTTTTTTGAAAATCATTCATATGGAGATGATGCAGTTGGGGAGAGGCAAAGAGAATAAATATTAGATTTATATAGCTTGTCTTTTTATTATGATTATGATTATGATTATGATTATTTGTGGTTTTCTGGGGTCTGAAAGCAGGGATCTGGGCATGGTGGGCAAATGCCCCACCACTGAACTATATCCTTAGCACTTGATCTTACTTTTTAAAATTATATAAGATGTTAAGTATATTTGTATAGAGGATAAGGCAAATCAATAATCAACAGCTGAAATAGTCCACATTAATGGGTGAAGAAACAGAAGTATTTATCTTCTGATTAACTTCTGGGTTACTTAGAAGCAATGTCTGAGAAGTAGAGAATCATGGTCTAAGACAGTGATGGTGAACCTTTTAAAGACCAAGTGCCCAAATTGCAACCCAAAACCCATTTATTTATTGCAAAGTGCCAACACTGCAATTAAACCTGATTATTTGATGCTCAGCTGCTGAGGTGACGCTGGGGTGACCTGAGTCACATGCCAATGGAGAGGGCTCTGCTGTGGCACTCACGACACAGGTTTGCCACCCATGGTCTAAGAGGGGACAAACAAGAAAACTGGCTACAATGCCCCGGGTTTTCTTCATAGAAAGACAATAATAATGCAATACACCAGCCTCCATGAGGGAAAGCTGAATAGCTGCGTGGGGCATGTACACAGAGTCAACAGTGAAGAAGCACCACAGTGCAGAAGTTCTTAAACTATACGAACCATAGCGAATGACTGTGGTGACAAATGCTCTTCATTTGGAGGCTCTCCATGACGAGATGGTGGCAATTCCTTTTCTTTAGAGATACTCAAGCATGCTAAAAAGTTCTCAATTCCAGCATTAGGCTAAAATGTAAATAATTGTGCATGAAAATGAAAGTACAAAGATACAGGAAAAAGTTAAGAGTTTTATGCTCAAAACTGGTAATCAATTTTCACTAAGTGGGGCTGGAGAGATGGCTCAGTGGTCTAAAGCATCTACTTAGAACAAGCTTGGCAAAGCACAGGGACCGCAGTTCAATCCCCCAGCACCACTTGCCAGCCAGCCCCGCCCCCTGGTGGGCTGAGCTGGCCACACACACACACACACACACACACACACACACACACACAAAATAAATGTAAAATAAATAAATAAAATAAATTTAAAAAAAAAAATTTTTTTTTCACTAAGTGACCTTCCCAGGTGTTAAAGTTTGCAAAGAGAATGTAAAGGATCTTTTACCTTATCATTAGCTTTTGGATAACCAGGCACAGCCTTCTGGACTTCAGAGACATCTGAATTTTCATTTCTCTTCAATAACTTAATGCTATAATTGGCAGGCCCTCCTAAAGCCTATAAAAAAGTGAATGAGCTTTCTGTGTAAATAAATTCATAGTTACTACTTAACAGCATTCTAAAGAAGTTGGTGGAAAATGACTGATGTGCTGCTTTTTCTTTGCCATCATATAAATTTGGATGGTGAAAAAATGAAGTCTATCTTCATTGACCTTTAAATGAGATTTAGCATATAATTCAATTGTGATTGTAGGCAATAAAGCACTGACATGGACTCCTTGTTTGTGCCATCCTCCAATTCCTATGCTGAAACTCTAGATCCCAAAGGAGTTTAGGAGACAGGGCTCTTAGGAGGTATTTTTTTAAAAAAATTTATTTATTTATTTTTCAATTTTATGTATTTGGTACAGGGTCTCAATTTGCGGCTCGGACTCGTAGTGATCCTCTTAGGAGGTAATTTTGATTAGGCGAGGTCATGAGGGTGAGGCCCTAGGATAGGATTAGGGTCCTTGTAAGAAGAAAAACAGGGTTTTTTCTATATACTAGGTTAGAATTTAAGAATAGTCATCTGCAAGCCAAGATTAGAGGTCTCATCAGACTTTAAGTGTATTTTAAGAGAGGTGTTTTTTTTTCCCCCCAAGACATGTATTTTAGAATTAAAAATATCACTTTCAGTGCCTTCACCTTGGACTTGACAGCCTCCGGAACTGTGAGGAAGTCAGGCATGGCAGCAGACGCCTGCAAGCCCAGCATTTAGGAGACTAAGGCAGAAGATCATGGGAGGTGGAGATCGCTCTGCGCTATATAAGGAGTCCAAGGCCAACCTAAAGAATGCACTGAATGTCTGTCTCAAAAATACAAAACAGCCACACAATAAACAACCTCCCCAAACGACAACAATAAGAAACAAGAAAAAAACCCTGTAAAACCAGACTCCCCCAGAATTATAAGGAAATAAACACTGGCCATTTGCCACTCAGTCTGTTACTTTGTTACAGCAGCCCAAAGTGAAAGTGACAACAGCAGTGATCTCTCTGCATTTGCTTGTCGCTCTCTTATTTTTGTTGGTACTGGCGATCGAAGTCAGAATCTTGCACTTGCCGGGCAGGTGTTGATGCCACTGAGCTCTCTCCCCAGCCCCAATCTCACTGTATTTCAATGTAAGTGGTTTTCTTTCAAGTATGATGTATTTTATTTTAGCATTTAAAACACTATCTGGAGAACAATAGCTTCACTAGAAGTCCAAATGCTTCACTAAATATGTTATTGCACAAAAATTGTCATTAATCCATTGTGTAGAAGAAAGAAAATTACAGTATAAGACTTTAAAAGGAAAGGACATTGATGGGGCCGGGGAGTGGAATAAGGCTTCCTGGCAAGCGCAAGGGCCTGAATTCAATCCCTGGTTCCGCCAAAAAAAAAAAAAAAAAAAAAAAAAAAAAAAAAAAAAAAGAAAAAAAGAAAAGACATTGAAAGTCATGTAATTATGGGGGAAAAAAAAGAAAGTCACGTAATTAAATTCTTTATTGGTATTTATATACTAATGGATTCCATTAAGGGGTTCCATTTATCTGTTCATGTGAAATATTCTAAGACTTTAAAAAAATGTTTAAAAAATGTTTTGCAGAATTGGGGATTGGACCCAGGCTCTTACACGTAGTGAACTATAGCCCTAGCACAAGAAATCACTTAAAAATATGTATCATATGCTGGGCATGTGGCACATGCTTTTATTCCCATCAGTTGGGAGGCTGAGGCAGAAGAGTTCTGAGTTCGAGGCCAGCCTGCGTTCCATACCAAGACATAGTCTCAAAGACAGAAATACCACCCCCACCACCCCCACCATCACCAAAAAGCAAAAAACTGCAACCCCTGAAATATGGTGTTACACATTTATTATCCCAGCATGGGGGTGGGGCTGAGGCAGGAGGACTCAAGCTAAAGCCAGCTTAGCAATTTAGTAAGCACCTCCCTAAAAATAAAAATTTAAGAAGAGTGAAGGTCCTGAGTTTATTTACCAGTATAAGGAAAAGTGTTTATTTATTTATTTATTTATTTATTTATTTTACATTTATTTAGTGTGTGTGGCCAGCTCAGCCCACCAGGGGGCGGGCTGGCTGGCATGTGGTGCTGGGGGATCGAACCGCGGTCCCTGTGCTTTGCCGAGCTTGTTCTAAGTAGGTGCTTTAGACCACTGAGCCATCTCTCCAGCCCCAGGAAAAGTGTTATAATAGGGAGGGCCAGGCAGATAGCTCAGCAGGCTAAAGTGCCTGCTTAGGCAAGCGCAGGGACCAGGTTCAATCCCAGTGTGCTGTGCTGGCCTTGCCCCTGGGGCATGCTGAGCCACAGATAGACTGGGCATGGTGGCATGCTTCTGTAACCCCAGTGCTTGGGAGGCTGAAAACAGGCGAATCACTACAAGTCCGTTCTACATAGTGAGACCCTGTAGACCCTGTGCTAAATACATAATACAATAGGGATCTAGAAAAGTACACTTATAAATTTACATGCTCAATTTTTTGACTATGAAAGTACACTCCTTACCAGAAATGTAAATGAAACCAGGTTCTCCCAAATCAATCTAATTCCACAGAATGTATACAGTAGTGTGAATCTATGGCACGCATGTTGGTTTATGTTGAATCACTGGAAACTCTAATAAAAGGTTAGCCATCATTGACACATAGTCTGTTAAATATGCTCCATTGTTCTTTATTATGTCGATACTTACTATCATTGTAAAAGGAAATATATATTCCCACATATTTTATACACATGTATGAATCTATATATTCAGAGTTACTACAAGTGGTTTATACTTTTATCTCCACTTTAAAGATGAAATTGAGGCCGTGAGATGTGAAGAACTGCGTAAGCCTATGGAGCTATTAAATAGCAAAATTGGGATTTCAGGTCCCCCAGTTCCAAATCCTGGACTCTAGCTTGAGTAGTTCCATTCAATGACTACCAGCTTGTACACCATGAACCTTTTTGCCACACACCTTATTGATTTGTTTGCAAAATTTGTAAAATTCAGTCAGACAGCATAGCCACCAACTAAATAAAAATTTGACAACTTGAAGTTTGACTTTAAGTAAGCTTACCTGCTTACTAGATATTTTTTGTGACTGATACTCAGCTTTAGGACTCTTACTTTCTTCTTTACCTAAAGACAAGACAACAGAAATTGTGATGAATGAAAGTGTTTACTGTACAACAATTAGATTTATCAAATATCTGCCATAGCAAGGTACTGTGTGAAAACCTGAGAGAATTCCAAGAAGACATAACTTCTGGTCATAAGGAATTTATAAGCTAGGTGAGGGGCAAAAGAGATATTTGTAGTCACTTATAAAGGAAAAGAAAAGAGGTATCTGAATTGAGCCTGAAAGGATGGGAGGGCAGAATAGGAGGCTAAATATTCCAAACAAAAGGAACAGTGGGAAAAAAAGAACTAAGACAGAAAGCCAGGACTGCATTTATGGAACTCTAAATAGACTATGTTTGTTGGCACTTATGGGATATAAGGGCACCTAAAAGAACTAATGAAGCAGGTTAGAGCTACACTCTGAAGGATATGAAGAGTATGGACCTAGCAAGAGCAGGTCAGAGGCAAGCAATTATAAAAAGGTTCTGAGCCAGTAGTTATGTGACTAGAATTGTGTTTTAGTAGATCATTTTCTTTTTGTTGTTGTTGTTGTGGTTTGGAAATTGAATTCAAGACCTTGCTTTTGCCACAGCAACATTAAAATATGGCAGTAGCAAGGCTGGGCGTGGTAGCACATGCCTGTAATCCCAATACTGAGGAGGTTGAAGTAGGAGGACTGCTGTGAGTTCCAGACTAGTCCCTGCTACATGGTACAACTCTGTCTCTGTCTCTGTCTCTGTCTCTGTCTCTGTCTCT